GAGAGACTACAAAGAGGAAAGAGATCCGGATAACCAAGACTTACCATTGGTAATGTAATGGTAGACCACCACATGCACAGATTATCTTCTGATTCCTTTGAAGCTATTTTCGTCTTGGGCCAAAATCTTGGCGTCTAAGAAAAGTCTCACTCATTTTCCTCCTTCTAGGCTTTGACGGAGGCAATTTTGCAAAAACGCTGGCCGCGAATCTTGGTCTAGATTCAAGCAGCTCACGCATTTGAAAGAGTTTTCTAGGCTTTGTGCAAAAATCTTTTCATTAAAAAAAAACAGATAATTCGATAGGTTCTGAGGACGTAGTTGCACCAGAAATCACTTATTCTATAGTTGTCGAGATCACAATAGTTCAAAAGACATACAATCAAGAGAGTAAAAGTGGTGACGCTATTAGTAATAGCCTGGCTCGTAGCTAAATTGCGTACTATTGCTCGAATTACGCTATGATACAAATAGTGTTGAATACTTGCAACCATCATCACTCTTCTTTGAGGCTACAAGAAAAAAAGAATCAAATCGAAAAAAAAAATTTTTTCTCTCCGACACATTAGGTGAGTATGCGAATGATGATCCATAAGTACTTCTTGAAGTAGTCTAGATGATTTTGCTCTGCGCTTCATCAAATTAGCACATACAATCAAGCAACCAGACTATGATACAAAGCTAAATGTCAAGCTATAATTGTTTTGAAAAAAAGCATGAACAAGTTTTTACACGACTGACGTGCAGAACACAATTCGCGTTATTGTTGCTCGCGCGTCGTATGAAAAATTTAGTTTCTTTCCATTACCTAACAATTGACTATTTTTTTACATCGCACACATAACGATACGACTCCGAGTTCAAAGTATAGACGGGAAAGGCTTAGAGAAGCAAAGTGAAAAGTAATTGTGGAAGGATATGTGACTAAAGATGGCAATCTTTTTTCTCTGAACAAAGAACGATACTTGGTAACCTCGGCCATTCATGATGGTTTGTATATCAAAAATGCGCCTTTTAATGCTGATTCAAATACTGATTTCCATATCTGCGAAACGAGAACCTGGATGGAGTTATGATTATTTTTTCAAAAATGAATTGCACTACTGCGGAGGGTGAAAATCATTGATAGAAGTTTCCTTTGCTATTCAATTGCTGAATATGGTTCAGATAGGTATAAATACAGCGTAACACCTTTCAAGATTCTCCTCAATAGCTTCAAACGGTAGAATAGATCAAATTGGGTGAATTTAACTACCTACGAGTACGCAAATTTTCTACGAAGAAAAGTTCATAAGTGCCTTCAAATAATCGTTTCGCAGATTTCGAGCACAGATTTAGAATCAGCGTTTCGAGAGCACCTTATGGTATACATCGCCTTTCACATGGCCGGGGTAACCAAGTATCGTTCCCTTGTGAAATTTTTTTTGATCAATGGTGGAGAAATGCCTTTACAACACACAGGTAGCGAAGTGACTCTAAAGCTAATGTTAGATAGTGAGGAATGAACACAGTATGAACTTCTGTAAAAACTTATGCGGATGGGAAAGCCCCCTTTTTCCTAACATTATAGTTTGACGATTGCTATCCTAATGCCATCCTTGAGATGGCAAAACATTCAGTTCCGATAGGTTTTCCATAATTCTTACATGAACGTGTTCTACTCTCAGAGGTTATCATAGCTCCTAGCCTACGCTGGTTCTCCTCAAAGAGGGCGCTCTCCAATCAAACAATTCACGGAATTGAAAAAATAGCTAGCGCGATTAAGTGATAAAAACATGAGGATCGAAACAAAGCAAAGGAGAGTCCGTTTTCAAAGGTGTCCATTTGCCACCCTCGTCGCGGGCTCTGCCCCGCGCCTGCATTTTGTGAATAAACGATGAATTTCTTTACAACAATGGCGTACCCAGGATTCCTGAGGGAGGGTAGGGGGACCAAAATCTTTTTTGTAATAAAGGTACGTGGCTAACGTTTCGCGGGCCCATAAACCCTAAATTTCAGAAAACGGGGACGTGTTTTCAGCTACGCCTGCGGAAAAAAACTTTCATGAGGCTAAATTGATTTTTAGAAAATCTCAAAAATTATTTTGATTACTGACATTATTTGTAAACAAGTCAGTTGCAAATTTCCATAACTCATGACTTTCAAAAATTTCACGCATTCTCGGGGAAGGGGTGGGGGGGCTCTCCCTTGGTACGCCACTGATTCTTAACGTTTTTTTTAGAAGGCTTCATCGCTGCTAAACTAGACGTTATTTACTAACGAGGAAAATGTCTTTGATCGCAGTTCCTTTACAGCATGAGATGAGTTTCATATAAAGCACTGTGAAACGCTGTTTCCAAAACTGCTTTGGGTGGGAGTTATGGACAGAATCTTTTGACTATCAAATTTTGCGCTGTTTAGAGTACATTGTGATTACAGAAATCGTTTAAATGCTTGTCGCGCAGTGAAGAATAACAGTGAAGGAAAACTGTATTCACACAAAACAGGGTGTTCCAAAAGTATGTCTACACTGTTTGCTTGTCGATATCTATTTTCCTAAGCATTTGTCTACCTTCAATCTATGTTTTGTAGAGCTGGTTTCAACTTAGATTTATAGTATGGAGCAGATCACTGATTACCCCTTCATTACTGCAGGATTGCGGTAGAAATCCCGTTTTCCAAAACTCTTATACTAGGCTAATTCGAGCCACGAAATAAAAAGTTTACGCTTTACCACAATGCTTCCTTCATAAGTTAAGCCGAGTGATTCGCAATAGCTGTTTTTCGCTGCTCCCTAAAATAGTGATTACACCATTAAAAAGATATACAAACACGCAAAAGTTAAGTGATAAAATCAGCGTGCCTGAAAACACTGGTACACCACTTTTCGGATATTTAGAAATTTATTTCTTTATAGCACGTTCTACAATAACGCTGTAAGTTAGAAGCCCATTCCATAACCCTACAGTAATGAAAAGCGATCGGTGTTTTGCTCTATTACTTTACATCTCTGTAAAGCCAGGTCTACAAAATGTTACCTGGAGATAAGCGAACGACTTCTTTGGAGGAGAGATATCAACGATCAAGCAGCGTATACATACTTTTGGAAAACCCTGTACAAGGCATTGTTGAGTTGTTTCAACTAGGTTTGTGCCCAAAATACATGTTTTGGTAACTTTGGCTACTCCCAGCATTGTAAATTTCTCCTAATTTGAAATCAACGACTCAAGCCACACAAGTCAGGTTAGTGATATAGTTAAAGAAAGGCGCTTTGAATTTAGCGTTTTGAGTTGAGTGTGTCAATATCTATCTTATATCAAGTAGTTATTGCGGCTTCTGGTACTATCCTTGTCTTGCAATTTAGTATATAACAGCATACAATTTTTTCCATGCAATTTGGCATTGTGTTAAGACATATAAGGCTGAGCTCACGCTATTCCTCGGAACAGCTTCAGCACAGCTCCGGGGGCAAGAGGGCGGGGTTCGAAAGACTTTTGAAGTGAATTTCAGGTTTTCCAAGCACTAGATAACTTGCGGGTCTGCCATCACAAAGCTGTAAATTCTCAGTGCTCATCACCTTGCTGGGATGCTGTCATTGATCGCAAGAAAGCATGGCTGGGTGATTCTTTTTCTAAATTTACTCCACCTGAGATAGAGATAAAAGATTAAAAAGGCATAACAGCCCAATGGCCCTAGCCAGATAACGAAAACAACGAACGCTGCGCATGCTAGCACTTATGTGAGTTTACATTGACATAATCCTATTTTGAAGAAACCCATCCATGCAGACCTCGTAATACATGGCACATAAGTTTCATTGTTGAGGCATTTTGCTGTGAAACTTCCTGGCATTTGCAGGTCGTCGTTCATCTGCAAAACAGACCAAAGCGTCTCATCTATAGCATACTCCTAAAATTTGAAAATGGTCAAAAAGCATGTTTCTTTTATCAATGGATAGCTTTTCTTTTCTTAGCTCCTAAACCAATTTGTTGAGCAGGGGACAGCGCAACTCACGTTTGAAAATCTCAGGATGGCAAGAGGTATTGCTGAGTTATTTCCTTTTTTTGAATTTTTTTCATATTATAGAGGAGATTTGCATTGTTTCATGCCGCTCTTGCAGCATTAGCTTTCAAATTCATAGCGAAACTTGAAAAAACCATTTTCGTAAAGGCTTTGCCAATGAGATTTATATGAGTTGACGGGTTCCGAAAGCGCATACTACAAAAACGGCTTTCCATATCTGCTAAACTGTTTGATAGACGAAGTTAAAGACATTTTCCTGCCTCTAATTGCATGATTTGGTTTATTAAACAGGGTGAGCAACTTGCAAAAATTGTCCATTGTTACACCCGATTGTCTATCATCCTCCGAAACTGGAATTGGAACTTGCTTGACAATCATCCTTGCTGCAAGCGCTCAAGCTTAGTGCCAATTGAGCACAAACAAAAGCCTGTAGAGTCGAAGCACGCAATGTTCAACAAGTACAGTACCCACACTAATTATTCGACAGAAAATGCAAAAAAAACTGACGATCCGCGTTTTTTTCGTTTTTGCTTCATAACTTCCTTTAGATTGCATAAAATACGAGTTTGAGGAAAGCATGATGTTCAACTCGTCAAGACGAATCTTCTGATATACTGCACTCTCTCACTATCTCGTTTTCAGTCTGCTCGATTTTTGTGTGAGGATGGGTCTTCGTAGTGGTGTAACTCAGCGAAGAACACACATGAGAGCTGTTCCCGTAGATTATCATTTATAGAGAAAGATAGGCCGGTGAATCCTGAAAAAATCGATGTCTCTCAAATTTTAGATAACGTAACCATACAGTAAGTCGCTAATTTTTGAGGCAAGTGCGTTTTACGTGATCAGCAGGCTAGATAGTCTTTATGCGCAAGTGTTTTAAGAAACTTGGGTCCTTAGATTTTTACTCGTTTTAGGCTGTGAAGCTCGGCGACGGGTTTTGACTAAGATATTGATGATCTTGGATTGACCGGAATCGCTTATAGAGGTTTTCGGACTCGCTGATCACCAAAATAGTGCTTTTTGTGCAGGGTAGATACCTTTAGCAGGGTTATGCTGAGAGGAATGCCGCAATACTACACAAGTACCTAAATTTGTCTGTTTTTTTCGCGTATCCGTTGAATGACTTACCTGCTCCTTTTTTTAATTTGAAATCATTAGAGACTGTGCTCGCAGATCATGCCTGAACTAAGTCCTTATCTGTACTGAATGAAAAACTTTGAGCTTAAGAACTCACGTCCTCATGAAAATCGTTCAAAATCCTATTTCGCATGTTTTGGCTGAATATCATCACGAATGTGTGATTACTCTGTATATATGTTATTATGTAGATACTATGTTCATGTGCGTATATAAGTTGATAATCTCTCAACACAGCATAGTTTCTTACATTTGTAACGTCAAAGTTTGCAAAAATCGATAGAGTCGGTGATGGTAATCTTATATATAAAGCTGAATGTCTGTCTGTATGTCTGTATGTCTGTGTGTACGTATGTTCCAAATAGAAAATTCCATTTCTGAACCGATCTGGACCAAACTTGGCACACATACACTTCGGCCCCCGGCGGGTGTTCATAGGCTACTTTTCGTCATCGATCAATATCGATTTTATCGATTTTTTGCAAAATTTGAGCTACAGGAATGGGAGTTGGCACAGGGGGGTAATCGAGCATGCTGATTACAAATATATTGTTGACAGGGCCGGGCGGAGCCGGGTAAGCCATCTAGTTGTTTTTAAAAGCTAATGTTGTACCGTAACCAGCACCTTCTCGCTTACCTTACACCAATTCCCAGCCCATAGCTCAAAGTTTGCAAAAAAGTCGGTAAATCGATATCGGCCGGTGACGAAATGTAGTTTACGAGACCATCTCGTCCCCAAAGTTGTATACAAAGCTTGGTCTGCTTTGGTTCAGAGGTTCAATTCTGCTGGGAACATAGCACAGAGACACAGACGCATGACAATACACATTCACTAAGTTTACTATGTTAACAGCAGATAATAACAATAACAGTGTAGATTTCAAAGTCTGTCAATCTCATTATAAAATCGAGGCGTCTCTTTACAACCGTTCATCACTGGATGGAGATAAAAGCGTGAGTCATTCACTAGTTGCAGCTCTAAGGTGGTCAATCTTGCTATTGTACTTTTGTTCATCTTATCTACCAAGTTTTCCTTCATCAACGTTAAGAGAAGTTCAGAGTCGCCTTTGCAAAACATCTGTCCCAACAGAAGTCAAGCTGAACCGTTGGCGTAAGTTTGTGCGCTCGCGTGTGGTCACTGTGCCAACATTGGCTTGATTGAAATGGGCACAGACTGTACCTCCTTCTAAGGTGCACGCATATTAGAGCTGAGAGGAATTTGACTCTTTTGCGATATACATATTTGAATTGTATAATCTGTAACCAAACTATACAATGCACTTTGATGAAAATCATGTTTTATCCTGTCATGGTATCTAAAAGACAGTCAAAGTGCACTTAGCGGCAATGCGCGAGGGCAGAACTTCAAGAGCATTGGCAGTGTAGCAAGAAGGACCAACTTCCTTCAGAACTGCGATTAGTGAATAACCCATGCTTTTATCTTCACTTAGTGATGAACGGTTGCAAGGAGATGCCTACCATCTTATGATGAGATTGCAAGATTTTAGAATTCCGACTGTTATTGTTATTATTTATCTCTTGAACTCAAGTGAATGTCTGTTTGCCATGTGTCTGTGCGTTCTGTGCGTATGTGGCATTGCAGACCAAACTTTGCAACAACTCAGGGGCAGAGCTGGTCTCGTAGACTACATTTCGTCATCGGTCGATATCGATTTATCGATTTTTTCGCACAATTTGAGCTACCGGGTTGGGAATTGGTATAACTAGGTGAGTGAGGATGCTGTTTACAACACAGTGTTAGTTTTCAAAAACGATCACCTTTACCGACTTTATCGATTTTTTTGCAAACTTCGAGCTGCAGGTGTAAGAGTTGACATGAGGGTAAGCAAGTATGATGTATCAAGATTAGCAATCTACACATGCATCTGTGACCATTCGCGGTGATATTTGGCCAATATATGCGATCTGGAAATTTTGAACGGTTTTTATGAAAACGTGAGTTCGTATGCTCACAGTTCGGCGATCAATACAAATAAGGGTCCACTTTAAAGGCAGTGTCTCAGCAAAATTTCGTTTTCCAAATTTTTACCTTTTTGGGGCCTTCTCGTCATGAAAAACCCATATCTGGGCTTTTCAGCGGATGAAAATGGCGAAAATGAGCTTTTGAAGCTTTCTAGGTCCGCATTCAGTGGAGAAGTGGGCGGGGCCTAGAACGGGGAAGGCGGCTTTTTCCGGCGTATCATCACTGAATTCAGATCTGGAAAGCTTCGAAAAAAGCTCTTTTTCGCCATTTTCACACGCTGAAAAGTCCAGATGTAAGTATTTCATGACGAGAAGGCCCCGAAGAGGTGAAAATGTGAAAAACAGAATTTTGCCAAGACGCTGTTTTTAAGCATGCTCTGAAAGCGCTGTGTCTAGTGATTTCAATTACAAAACGTAGCAGGTAAGTTGTCCAACAGATACGCGAAAAGAGCAGACAAATTTAGGATCTTGCATAGTATCGCTGTATTCCTCTCTGCATGACCCTGCTAAAAGAACTTACGCTGCGCAATGAGCACTATTTTCGTAATCAGCGAGTCCGAAAACCTTTATAAGCGAAGCTTCCGGTCAATCCAAGATCATCAATATCTTAGTCAAAACCCGCCGGAGAGCTTCCCAGCCTAAAACGAGTAAAAATCTAAGGACCCGAGTTTCTTAAAACACTTGCGCATAAAGGCTATCTAGCCTGCTGATCACGTAAAACGCACTTGCCTTACAAATTAGCGACTTACTGTATAGGTACGTTATATAAAATTTGAGAGACATCGATTTTTTCAAAATTCATCGGCCTATCTTTTTCTATGAAAAGGATATCCTTTACTAATCGCTAGCGCATGATTATCTACGGGAAAAGCTCCACCGAACCATGTTTACTTGAATCTTCCATGTGTCTTATTCGCTGAGTTACACCACTACGGATACCCTTCCTCACACAAAAATCGAGCAGACTGAAAACGGACTAGTATGAGAGTGCAGTACATGAGAAGATTCATTTTAACGAGCTGAACATCATGCTTTCAGATTCGTATTTTATGCAATCTGAAAGACGTTATGAAGAAAAAACGAAAAAAAAACGCGGATCGTCAATTTTTTTGCGTTTTCTGTCAAATAATTTGTGTGGGTACTGTACTGATACCACAGTTGGAAACAGCCTTTTGGGTCAGCCACAGTGGTACACAATCTATCAGAAAGCATCTTCTTTCAGCATAGATTAACTGACCCACGAGCAAAGGAAGGAAAATTTCTGCAGAAGAGAACCTTTCGTAAAGAGTTCGGTGGAAAGTCATAAACGACTTTTGAAGTGTCGAAATCCGAAGATTTGTTAATGTTCGGAAGGTTTGTGTGTTTTGTGACTTCGAAAAAATGAAGACTTCTGGAAAAGTTGTTTCAAAAAATACTGAGAAGCCAGTTGCAATTGCCGGAAAATTTCATTAAATTGCACTTTGTTTACTCTATCTGACTGCTATTCACACTTTTCCAAAAGTTAAAAAAGAAAATTGTGAAAAATTGCCAAATTTGGACATGGTAGAAGCCATGGGTTCTGAAATTTCGGCCATTATCTCACTGACCGCAAGAGCAAGAGGCAAAAAAATATGACAGTTGAAAAAGCTGAAGAAAAGCTGCGTCGGATAGAGCTATGCATCCGTTGTGAATTTTTCGACGAGCTTGAGTTAACTGTCGACAACTATTAGGTTGGCTAAAAAATAAGTTCGGTCGTCTTCAGTGGTTTGTAGAATTGTCATAATTTAGTTTTTGTGTGTAAATATGGTACCATTAAAAAGGGCAAACCAAGGAGAAACGGAAGGGTTAACTCTATTTTTTCAAAAATAATTTTTCTGATAATGAAATGATGAGGGGGTTGGTTTGGAAAATTGGTTTGATTTTTTTTTAAATTTCGCAAAATCACGCTCCGAAAAAACGAACTGAAGTCAGGTGTAAAGTGTAGATTCGCTAGCGACACAGCAAACTTCGAATTGCCAACCATTTGCATGGCCGTAGATGGTCAAATTCGAGTTATCTGGAATGCTCAAAATTTGACCTTCGCGCGCAAATGCCTGGAAATTTTCACAACTTTGACTGCAAAAATATAGAAACAGCAGGTCACAATTGTGGTTTGCCACCTAGCCAGAGGCTGTATGTACCCAGCCACCAAACTACTCGCCTGTGTACTCACTGCAGGCTGAGAACGAAAGTTAGAAAATCAAAAGAGCGTTTTTTTAGAAGTCTGACCATTTAAGGTTATAACTGTCTTTTTTGGTAACACAAAATCTTGACTATCCCTATTCAAGAGTAAAGGCTTGAATCTATCCTCTCATGAAAAATGAATAGCTTTTACTTGAATTGTTATGAAGCTTTGAATTTGCGTGTCAAAACGAACTTATTTATCAGCTAATAAAACCTCCATTTTTACCATGTCTAAATTTCGCTAATTTTTATTTTTAATTTATGATTTTCATTTCAAGCTTCTAAAGGTTCTCTAATGGCCGTCTGATAGAGCAAACTTTTTTCAAAATAATGCAATTTACTTAACTTATTCTCGCACAGTGATGGCAAAGCTTTCGCGCAAGGCTGACCGTCAAGAATGAATTGTAAGATAGGCGCTATACTTCTCGAGGAGTAGAGCACCTTTCGACCAATATGCAAAAAAACTGCGAAATTCGTGATTTTTGTTATTAATGTCGGCGCTCGCTATTCGCTACGACTGACGATCGCTCCCCGTCGATTTTGGCGAGATGAGCGATTACCGTCGTCAGTGCTACTGTGGTCAAAAAATAGTAGACTTCGGTTGCAAAAAGAATAAGACCAATCACGAAAAAGTCGTCTTCCTGGAGTGAAATCCCCATAACATGTAAGCTTTGCACCAGCAAGTTCACAACTTCGAAAATATCTTAGAACGCAACAAGTTCTGCAGCTTGAAAGGTAGTTAGAAACTTCAAAGCAATCAGAAACCGTTTTTGAATTTGAAATTGAATCCCTTGTTTTTAGCGAGCAGATTTTTTGGAAGATTCGAAACTGCAGTTGCGCTAGAATAGAAACCTTCATTTTTACCACGTCTCACTTTCGCTAATTTTCAGAATTTTCATTTTAGACTTTAAAAGGTGTTCTATTAACCACTTGATAGGGCAAACCTTTTTCAAATCAATGCAGTTTTCTGCGTCTTTTTTCAATTTCCTTTTTGAATTTTGAAAGAATTGCGACACATAATCAAGACATCGTGACACATAATTCCACCAGTCACTGCGAATTCTTCAAAGCATAAGTTCTCAAACTTGCTTATTACTAGCACTAGTATTACAATGTAAATGAGCGATTACGGCGGAGCGAAAATGGATAGATTTTGGAATTTCGACTACAACCTTGCGCACCCATAAAATTGGAAAGTATGTGCAGCGATTTTGTTTGCAAAAGTCGCATGTTTCGCGAAGAAGACATGGCTATCAGAAATAGGAGAAAAGATGCATCGAATGGTATCTTAACCGTTCAACGTCTAATGTTTTGCGAGGTTAGAGTGAGCCAAATATAAAATGTGGCCATTTCAGGAAATATATCAGTAATTCTAGAAAGCACGCCAGAGAGATGCAAATAACCAGTGAAACCTTTACGAAGGTGACGCAATGTTTTGTAATTACCACAGATGATTTCTGGATATGCAGAAATGCTTACATTTATGTTGAGCTGATTGATAAGTGGTGTTAAGTCAACGATCTTAACAGCCCAGTCAACAGCCGCTCTGCTTAGGGAGCACTGTACAAATCCTCGAACTATGGTCAGATTGGTTGTTCGTTGAGCATCAGTTGCCTGAGATTCTGCAGAAGTCATAGTACATGAGAATAACTGTGACCTTTGCTACCATTGCGAAACAACTTCAATGAGCGCACATCCCATTTCGCTGAGTGATTCCATCTTTCCCTTTCGCATGGCCTTGCACAAATGTCATTAGCTCCACCAAACTCCTTTAGTATCGACACAGTTTCGTACACTGTCTTGATCATCATGTCGTAATTCTAGATTAAATACCATTAATGTAAAACACAAATCCCTACTTTTTAAAGAAGCATTGAGTGGCAACTTTCTCAATAAGTCATTGGGTAAAAGAGAACCTGAAGCAGTAAAACGTATTCCCAGCTTTTGTGCTCAGAAAGGAGTTGAAGGCAATCATAGTGGGCCTGGTTCATGTTGTTTCCACGGCGATTGACAGAATGGCGCACTAAATGCTTGCTGAAGAAATTATTTGAATTCGAAATACAGTATTGGCAGAAGATGACATTTCGTGATGCCAGCTCACGAAGTGCAAAAGAAAAGCTCTTATTGAACCAAACTTGGCACCTTACACTTCGGGACGGGTGTCGTAGGCTACTTTTCGTCATCGATTAAAGTTGTATCATTTTGCTCTTGTTTTGTGAGTTTTGGCTACGAGGTTCGGAGTGGGCACACGGAGTAAGTGAACATGCTGATTACGATTACAGTGCTAGTTTTTAGAATTATCCAATACGTTTATCGACGTCATCTATATTTTTGCAGAATTTTAGCTACAGGATTGGAAGTTGGCATAGGGAGACTAGTGAGCATGCTGATTAAGGATACCTATTAGCATCATTCATTACGTTTGACTTCATTCGACTTCCTGCAAAGTTTGAGCTATGGCGCTGGGAATGAGCGCAGGGGGATAAATGAGTTTGCTGATAACGAATACAAGATTAGTATGTTTAGGCCCGTGGGCACGTACATCCCCACTGAGGAGAGGGTTTAGGAAGGGATGTGTGAAATCTCATTGCTCTGGATAACTGTGCGGCTGCTTCTTGGAAATCTCCTAGGATTCCTAAAGGATTACACAAAACAGTGGAAAATTGGTTTGCATAGCGATATCCTGGCATCCATTATGCTAAAGCCGAGTATGAGGATTTATAAGATAGATATGCAAAGAAGTGCATTCTAGGTTCCAGGGCAACGTTCCCTCCCTAGCAGAGGCGTACGCGTATATGGGCTTCAGAACCATCTTCATCTGTTTTTTTTTGCAAAGTATGGTCTATGGGGCTGGTAGTTGGCACAGAAGAATGAGTGAGCATGATCACGAATACAAAATAAGTGAGCATGATCACGAATATAATATTAGTTTTTTGAAGTATCGGTCATCTTCAGCGATCAAGTATCTGCAAAGTTTGGGCTTTGGGGCTGGGATTGGCACAGGGGAGACGGGGATAAGTGAGCATGCTGATCACGACGACAATGCTAGTTTTTTGAACTATCAAGTACCTTGATCGATCGATTTTTTGCAAAGTATAGCTGCGAGGGGGAGTGAGAGGGGGATAGGTTGCGGATTGGGGCCCCAGCTCTAGACGTCAGGTTTAACGTGCTCTCCTGCACGGCGCTGAGGACTCCATCCGTGAAATAAAGTAACTACACATGAGGAAAGGGTAGCTAGCTTGCGCCACGCTTTTATGGCCTGCCACAGCATAACGCGCAGCGAGTTAGAGACCAGAAGTTACCCACTAATCCCCTCATGCCTACTGCCAGCCATCTCGAGCCGTTCACACATGGACAATTGTGTATTACTTGCAACTTGGGGCACTAGCTAGCAACTAGCTGACCTTCCTGAAAAATCCTTGCAAGACATGAGTATACAAGAAACACAAATAGCATACAGATATAACTGCGCCAAGGTCTAAGCCTACGGCTACCAGAAGACTCGAAACACCACAATTCAAGGTGCCACCATTTATACCTATGTGGTACCAACACACAACAACTCAATACAATGGGCAGGGTACAAACCGGCCAATAATCTCACCTAGGGTTGGTAAAAAGAAACCCCTGTAGTCGCCCCACTGCCCCATGGCAAGCGAGCGGCAATCCACAGATTCCCTCGAGGCGGTTGCCAGTCCTCCAGGCGTGCTGGTGTTGAACATCGCTGGGTCGAAAAGGTGGCTGCTTGATCGATTAATAAATAGTTGAGGAGGCCGACCGCTCGCTGCTAGACAAGTGAGGAAGAGTGCGTGACATATGCGTAGTTAGGGAGCCCCCGCCGTTGCCGCTATTGCAGCTGAAACGCACTGTGTCAGATCTTGTCCTTGGAGCGTAGCCTAGTGGTGCTGGATGCTAGGCTTTTCGATTTCTTTGCCATCACTCTTTAATTTGAAAAGTTCTCTTCTTTGCTATAGTAATTCACTGCAGACATGGTTCATTTGATGTGGATTCCTTTTTTTTTGGTCGTCTACGATGCTGGAAAAATCTATTCATTGTCGAGTGAAACCCTTTCAGTCTAAGCAGAGGTGCGATAAGTGGAGCCGGGCCCTCCAAAAGTGAAGGTGGTTCCAGCTACCACTGGCCGACTAAAAGTGAAGGTGGCAGTGCCGGACACTCACCTCCCAAAAACGTCGACCGGGGGGGGGCGTTAACGTCGACTGAGCCTATCCTTCCAGGTCGTTGCCGACAGTGCGCGGAAAATGAGCAAAACAAACGCGAGAAAAGATTATTGAAAGCATATTTTTATGTATACGGCGGCATATATATATATTTGAAATAAACGTGTCAAGTAAATGGTGTGTTTTGAAGTGAAAGTCAGTGGGACTTCACAGATTTTAGTAGGTAAATTTTGTTATAACGTACTGCGAAGTAAGTAGGTCGATCCAGGCAGTGACCGCCGAGAACCAGAATTTTGAAAATAAAGTAACGATAAATTATGCGAAATTTCCACTTTTACAAATTTTGCGGTTGAAGATGTCAGCAATTCCGACTTTAAAGGTTTTGAAGAGCAAATGGTGCTCTATCAGATAGGGAAAGAATTAAGTCGATCTGAGCAGTGGCCGCCGAGAACGAGAATTTCAAAAAATTAAGCGATTTTAGTGACAGCTGACGTTCAGACTCCTATAAATCTGGGATGTGAAGATGTGAAATATTGCAACTTCGTAGGTTTTGTAGAGTAAGAATTGCTCTATTGGAGTGTGCCTTAGCCATACCGATCCATCAAAATTTCTCCGAGATTCAGGCTCTTAAAGAACAAATGAAAACCATGAATCATCTTGCGATTTCATAGGCTAGATTCTTCTTATCAAGAGCTTTCAGATAATTTAAAAAGTGTGGGTGTTTCGCGCCTCTCACGGCATATGCGGGGGTGGAGACTTTTCACCACAAAGTCTCCACTGGCGGTCTCCGGCCAATACACTGACATGGGCGAGGTGAAGACTTTGTGGTAAAAAGACTCCACCCTTGGTTAGAGCCGCAAAAATCATTGAATCCCCAACATGTTATATATCTTTTGAAAGCTCTTGATGAGAAGAATCTAACCCACTCGCAAGATGATTCATGCAAATTCTGAAGAAGTTATGAGCTGTTGAAGTTCAAAAAGCGGTTTTTCACCTGTTTTTTTTAAGAGCCTGAATCTCGGAGAATTGATGGATCGGTATGACGACTAAGCATTAGAGCCATTCTTACTCTACAAAACCTATGAAGTTGCAATATTTTACATCTTCACATTCCAGATTTATAGGAGTCTGCACTTCAGCTGTCACTAAGTAACCTAAAATCGCTTGTTTTTTAAAATCTCGTTCTTGGCGGCCACTGCTAAGATCGACCTGATTCTTTCAAAATCTGGTAGAAAAACATCTGCCTTTTAAAAACTATAAAGTCGCATTTGCTGACATCTTCAACCACCAGATTTATAACAGTGGAAAATATACATTATTTTTTCGCTATTTTATCATTCAAAATTCTGGTTCTTGGCGGTTACCGCTTAGATCGACCTACTACATAGATATATGCCCGAAATACTTTCTTTTGTTTTTTTGCTTATTTTCCTCCTTTTAAGCTTAATCAAAAAAAAATTCAAATTCAAAAGTGAAGGTGGTTACTCTGTACCCAGCTCAAAACTGAAGGTAGGCGGAGACTCGTCTCCGACTATCGCTCCTCTGAGTCTAAGTCTCGCTGTAGAGCTATTGCTGGATTGCAAGGCAAGGCCTTTTCGACATCTACCTCGTCTTGAAACTGGTTTACTATGCTGGAATTGCGAAGGTAAAGTTTCTTTGTTTTGAAGCTGTTCTATCGTGCAGTAGCAGCGATTTAGCTGTGCAGAACTCAAATTCTCTGTATTATTTTTGCTCTTGCTACTTCATACGCTGACAAACGATCTATTTCAAAGCGGAGTCATTTGGTGCCTTCTCCTTCTCCATTTAAGGTATATACCTTTACTTCAGCATAGCAAAATAGCTAACTTTGTGTAGTTGAACTTATATCAGTAAATGTACTCAAGCAGTATAGTAGAGTAGCTTTAAATTTAGAAGTGCAAAAAACAGCGTTTTGCGATAAGATCGCCACTCGGCAGACCAACCTCAAATCGGAAAAGACATCGAGAAAGCACAGCAGAGCAATATCATCAAAACGAAAGCTGTGCAAAAAAAATAGCGTTCCGCAAAGATTTATTAGTCCTAGATTTGTGTGGAGGCGGATTGCGGGCTTTCCCTGATTTTAATGGTAAAGTTAACGAAAGAGTACGAAAAACAATGCTGCATGAAGTTCCAACAAGTTCACACTTACATTTAAGGAAAGTCCGCAACCCGATATCCTTGATAGAAGTAGCATAGCTTCAAAACTGAAGACAAATTTGAAGAAACTTTGTTCTATGAAATTGATCAACTACCGTAAAAGTATAACCTAGAAACGAATGAAAGACAAAACGCCGTTCATCACTTTTTTTGCCTAAAGAAACAACTTTACAGCGGGAGGTGATTGAATATTCGACAACAAGCCGATTACTCCAGCATCGTAGAACCTCCAATGCATTACTTACGGAAAGAAGAAGACTTTGGGAAAGAGGGGTGGCAAAAGAATCGAAAAGCCTAGTAATTAGTGCCAATAGGCTCTCGCGACGCTCCAAGAACAAAATCTAACGCAATGCGCCTCAGCTGATAGCGGCAACCGGCGCGAAAGCAGCTACTGGCTGCAAAAGCGACAACCGGCGCGGTTTCGGCGAGGTCTGGAGGCTCCCTTACACGTGGAAGCGAGAGGCGAGACAGCGCGAAAACTTGCGTTTTGAGACCCAGCGCCTTGCGGTGGCGAACTTCCTATAAGAAAGCCGCGCAATGCGCGACAGGAAGTTGACACAGGAAATAAGTGGGCATGCTGATTATGAATACAACCACTGCGTCAACTGTGTCACCTCTGCTTTGCAGGTTTGTAGTGGCTCTATGATGTATGCTTTCATCGTGTTCACATAATAATGATTTTGGAAGTCACCGCCGCGCAATGCTGAAAATTAAACAACTTTCATTTTCAAAGCTTCGCCATGGAGAAAAAAACTTTCTGGAGAGTTTCTGGAGAAGAACAAATGCGATAAATAAGTTGCTATATTTATTTCAACATCGTTGTTCCCAAAAAGATAATAAACACCATGGGCTACATCTCAGTGCAAAAAACTTTTCAATTTATCAGGTAAAACTTTGACTAATCGACTATCTACGCTATCAATCCTTTCGACGCTATTTTAGCAGTAAAACAGATCTTCATTTTTGAATTAAATCATGGCTTGCAATTTTTTTGTCAGGCAGATACGCGAATTTGCAAAAAGACGAAGCAGCAACCCAGTTTTGCGTGGTAGAAGCCGAGTGAACCTTCTCTAGGTGCCATTTTCGAAGGACCCGTGCATCGGATCCACTCGCTATTGCGCAGGGTGAACCTAGCTGTCAGCGTGCACTGTGCAAAAATTTGACTCAAGACCTATTCTGCGGCTCGTTTTACGATTTTCGTAACAGACAGACACACACGCACAAAAAGACAGATACTTGACGCTTTATTTAAGTTATGATATTATTTCAAATCATCGTTTACCTTTAACAAGCGATTTTCTGCTAGCTAAAGTTTGGGCTACGGGGCTGGGTGACTGGCGCAGGAGAGCAAGCGGCCATTAAGGTCAAGTGTGAGGTGTGGCATGCCACAACTGGGGTCGTACTAACAATAAGGTATAAGTAGGCGGGGGGGGGTACGGTGGTCCTAATGCTAGCGATAATATAATAATCGCTAACATTGTCTGATAGGCCCATCAGACAAAATACTAGCACAATGATGTTCTGGCCTCCTTTCGCATACGTACAGTAGGCGTAATAAAAGAGCTTTAAAGCAAAGCATTATTTTCGTGACTAGCATGTCATACAACCCCTATGGACCAAGTCCAGCGAGTTTTGAGGTTTCCATACATTGGGTTACCCAAGTGAGATGGTCATTTTCGATGTTACCTTTATTTCAAAGGTGAGTGAAGTACTTCTTTTTGTACTTAATCCAAAAAACTTCTATTTTTTTGCTCACAGTAGGAATCCCACTTCAAATGACCTCTTAACTAAGGAATTAAGAGCAAGCCAAAATCTCGTTTAATCCATTTTTCGAACATACTTGTTCTTGCCGCCTGCCCTCGCGATTAACATAGTAGAGCGGACTTAGCATGTTAAACCAATTTTTAAATCTTTTTGTAAACCAATTTTTTGCAGTGTCTTCCATTTTCATAGGTAAGGATAAGCGACTGTATCTTTTCCTAGAGGAAAGATTTTAAATGAGGTTTCTGCTGTTGTAAAGAAAAAGGTTAAGCAGTAGCATCGATGTGAAAAACCCAGATTTATTAGTGTTTCAGGGAACAAACTCTACACTGTTCGATCGCAAAAATTTCATAGTTTTTGTAAAAATGATCGGAGTTGAATCCGTCTTCTTTCGTTTGAGCAATAGTTACTGGAAGCACAACCACTGTAAACGAAAAATGGAACAAACGAGATCTTGGCTGGTTTTTAAATCCATAATTTGATGGTTATCTGAAGCAGGATTCTTGGCATGAACAAGTAGGAAATAGTGCTCTGGTATTGAGTACAGAACGAGATAGCTAAGGTGCCATTTGAAATGTATTAGGTTGTGTAACAAGTTCTGTTCCATT